CCCCAAAACCCCAAAACCCCAAAACCCCAGGCTTCTAGAGAATATTGATAAATGATTGCGAGTATTATGCTAAAGCTCTTACACCATTACTCCATGTTCCAAACCCTTAAAGATGATTTCAAAACTATACAACGTAATTATGAGGAAATTCATTACTCTAAAGGCTTTATGGAGCCATGAGTAAGGAAATAGGATATCATCTTCACCATTTCTTTTCCTGTGTAGGTGAAGTTTCTTGATCCCTTCTTGCCCTGCATCGCCACTGAGTATAGATCGTAAGCCTTTGCTGCTTCGACTTCGTGCACGAAAGTACCGATGTACTTCTTAGCACCCTTGACATTGATGAGGGCTTGCCAGTTTGTGTTGTTCTTGGTTACTCCAATGTATTTAGATCTTCTTCCAAGGTACTGATCTGAAGTTCCTCTCGTCTTTTTAATACTTTGGGAGAATTCAGAGATTTTCTTAGCCAAAATACGCTTTCTTAATCTAATGAGCCTCTTTCTAATGTCAAGCTTTGTTGAACGGCTTCTTCTTTTTTGAAGGATTTTGGAATTCTTAGCTTCTTCTTGCTGCTCAGGAATATCTTTTTGAATGTTTGATGCATGATCATCTACCAAAGCATTAAGAATTCCGACAGTTTCTTTCTTTATATCTCATTCAGAGTTTTTTTCTCTTTCATAAGCTCTAAACCAAAATGAGTTAGCATGGTGTAAGCAAGATGAGCTTTTACTGCACTTAAAAAGCGGAAATAAATCTTGGATAAATGGCTTACTTTATACCATTTGATGATCCTGTAGTTTCAAGTTGCTGGGCACCCTTGTTTCCAATTCTCCCATAATGATTCTCATTCTTTAGACTGTCTTGAGTAGATGGACAGGAGCAATAAATTGCATCCAAGCATTTAAGCATCTGTAGGTAGTCCCAGGCTGGGAGTAAAATCAGGTTCGGATGAAAGCAGCTCATTTGCATCTCCATGTAAAATTATTATTAATTGTTAACTTCGGAAAATTTATAACCTCATTAGAAACCCTTAAAATCGTGATGCTAAATTCATAATTTCTGATCTAGATGGTATTTCAGCCACCAAAATTTTTACTTTCTCATGGCCTTTAGAATTTCAAAAGCTAAACTTAGAACAAGATGTTATTAAAAAGTGGACCTAACAATATGACCTGCACAAAAATGAGAGTTGCATAGTCCCTATTTCAGATAACTTCGAGCATGGTCTTGTCCCACCTAATGTGCTGGGTCATTAAATTCAGATACGCTCTAAAAATTTCCTCATTAAACCAAGGTAAAATTTTATTAAATCTACAACTGATAAAATTTTGGCTCAAACAAGTAAGCTAAAATTATAACCAAAATAACGATAAATTGCAAGATAACAGTTATATCTGAAATTAAACTAATGGGTTGATGTCTGACTTATAAAGACGTCTCTCAAATAGCCTTTAAATTTAAAGGGCAAGCCTCTCAGATTTGGTCACCTCATTTTGCTAGACTATGTTGTTGGTAGAAAATCGTAGAAGATAGTAACCAAATTATCATACTTTTTAGCATCAGGCTTTTGCTGAACTAAAGCTTCTTAGAAAATGGGCTAAAGGAGCAACGGCTTTAAAAAATTACTCTTAAGTTTAATCTCAGACTAAAATTTCTTTCATATAAAAGATATCTAGAATAAAACATTTACTCATCTAGCTATGCTCGATGTGATAGACTAAACCTAAAACTAAAAGTGCCCCAGTTCATTTGGCTCCATGGCAAATTATCGTTCATGACAAGATATTGAGTAAATTTCAGAAATTTGATAAATTTATCAGAATTTTGAGCTATTTGAATAATTCCTCCCAAAAATTATCACTTTTTCAGTGAATTAATGCTACCACTTTTCCAGATTAAGAACATTTCTCATAATCCTAAAGCCTACTCATGCTCAAAATTCTCTAAATCTAGTAATCCGATCCTGCAGGCATAACAAAAAATGTCGGAAGTGAACAACAATGCTTTTGCTTTGTGAAAACACTGAGTTAGCTCTTAGGCTGCTTTTTGGGTGATTTTTATGAATAAACTCCAAAAATATGCTCCAAACTCTGCGAAACTGATAAAGCTGGTATTCTAGCTACCCATTTCTACTTGTAACTTAACCAAAAGTGATGGCTTGTGAGAACTAGGCTAGATGTAAATCCAATGATAGATACATTTCTTTAAAAACTTTAATTAAATTTTCAACACGATTGGATACAAAGGGGTTTTGGGGTTTTGGGGTTTTGGGG